TCCCAGCAACCACATGGTGGCTCACAACCATCTGTAATGAGATCTGATGCCCTCTTCTGGTATGCCTGAAGACAGCAGCAGGGTACTCACATACATAAAATAAATAAATCTTTTTTTGTTTTGTTTTGTTTTGTTTTATTTTTCAAGACAGGGTTTCTCTGTGTAGTCCTGGCTATCCTGGAACTCACTCTGTAGACCAGGCTAGCCTCGAACTCTCGAACTCAGAAATCCACCTGCCTCTGCCTCCCAAGTGCTGGGATTAAAGGCGTGTGCCACCACCACCTGGCAAAATAAATAAATCTTAAAAAAATTTTTTTTTTTAAAAAAAGGCTGTTTTAATTATACTATTGCATAACCCCACTCCCCTTCCACATCAGGCTAATGAAGTCAGGAGAGCCAAGGAGGAATAGAAGCTGTGGCTCAGGATTAGAGATTCCCTTCAGGGACTTGGTGTAACCTCCTTCAGACGGTCTAGTTTTCCTTTTCCTAGAATTCATGTCTTGTTTTCTTAAAGCCCCTGTCTTAGTTACTTTTCTATGGCTGTAACAAAACACCATGGCTAATGCAACTTATAAAAGAAAGCATTTAATTTGGAAGCTCACAGCTCCAGCGGATTCAAATCTACGGCCATTATAGAAGAAGGCTTGCTTTGCGGCAAGCATACAGGTGTGGCGCTGGAGGAGTAACTGAAAGCTAACACATTGAGATAACAGGCAAGAGGCAAAGAAACAGTCAAGTGGAATGCTGTGGGCTTTTAGGACCTCAAAACTTCAAAGCCCTCAGTGACCCACCTCCTCCAACAAGGCCACACCTCCTAATCCTTCCCAAACAGTTCCACCAACAGGTGTCCAAGCATTCAAACATGGGACTATGCTGGCCATTCCCATTCAATCCACTACAGCCCTCCAAAAGTACCAATAGTTTTCCTCTGTTGTTTTAGCACTTCCTTCCTCCTCCTTCCTTCCTTTTTTCTCTTTCTTTTCTTCTTGTTGTTGTTGAGACAGAGGTTCTCTGTTGTACCCCTGACTGTCCTGAAACTTTCTCTGTAGATCAAGATGGCCTAGAACTCACTGTTTAGACCAGGTTGACCCAGAACTCAAGTGATCCACCTGCCTCTGCCTTGAATGCTGGGATTAAAAGTGTGTGTTACCCCTGCCTGCTTGTCTTACGTTAACAGTTGTTTTCGTTAACAGTTCAAGAGATCAGAGTCTATGAGAATCCATCTGCAGCTTGGGGGAGAGGCATATAAGCACCCTAAAAAGAACCACTTAATCTACTAAGTGATCATAAGGGGTTTCAGGAACTTGAGGGAAAAAAATTCTTCATACTCGGGAGCTTTTCTGTTTAAAATGCATTGTTTACACAGTGACAAAGTGTGTAAGCAGTAATGGTTGCCCTTTGTGGTGGCCCACTTCTAGGGTAAATATGACAACTACATTACAGCAGTCATCACTTGATTTGTCCTGGGCCAATTTAAAGAAAGTGGTATTAGAGTCAGTATTTCAGTTTCCTCACATTTGCACTAGAGAGAAAGGCTCAGCAAGTACAAGCTCTTGTAGCCAAGCCTGGTGAGACGAGTTAGGTCCCTGAACCCCAAAGTGGAAGAGGAGAACCAACTCCCCAAAGTTAGCCCCTCTTATCCACAAGTACACTGTAGCTCCCCCCCATAAAATCAATTTTCCCTATCTAATTAACTAATCAGAGTGCATTTGTAAATACAGAGGTCAAAACTATAAAGACATGTATGATAAATTAGTTATTAGAGGCCACCTGGCTTTCATCACCTATAAACCTAACTTGGCCCAGAGCAGGCAGGTTAATAAACACCACACATAATTCTCAAGCCATAATTCTTTCAAGGTCCAGCTTTACCTCCGGTCTTCGGCCCGTTTTAGTAAAAGTGGTATTGGCAAATTTATGTTTTAAAAGTATTAGAGACCTGACAGATGTTTGTATGGCTTTTCCTGTGTCATGCTAAGTTCTGCTAGAGTCAAGATTTAGGGACATTTAGGATGTTTTTTTAAATGATGTTTTTATATGTGTCCAAATTATGTTCAGTATCTGAGAACTGAGCAACTGATGTGTTAAAGAGTACCAGGCTCCCCCAGAGAGCATTTAATCATTCTGTGGGACTTGAGAAATGGCTCAGCACTTAAGAGCACTGGCTGCTCTTCCAGAAAACCCAAGGTCCCATTCAGCACCCATACGGTAATCTGACACCCTCTTCTGGCCTCCTTGCCACCAAGCATACTCATGGTACACAGATATACATGCAGGCAAAATGCTCACACATAAAAAATAAAAATAAATCTATTTTTTTTCTGTTTAGCTACTCTATGGTAATATGGTCTGGAACCCTGTACCTCTAGCAAGCAGACCAGGGGATTTATTTTATGTGCTAAAGTTTGACAATCAAGAACATGACATTTCTCTCAAGTTTATATAAAAAACAGAAATAATAACACCAGAAATAAATAATCAGTCAAACCCTACAAGAGACAAACTTTCCAGAAGTAGTCTGGTCTCTAGAGTTAAAAACTAAAGTGTGGTTGTTCCTGCCTGCCTGTAATCTCTGCAAGCAAGATCAGGAGGTCAAGGCTACCTGTGGCTACATACAAGGGGTTCAAGGTTACCCAAGACTGCAGGATCCGGAAAACAGACTATACAAAGGAAAACAGACTATACAAAGCCTGAAGAATGGCTAAACAAATTGCTATTCCTCTTAAGACGTGATGCATGACAAGACATGAAGAAAGCTTGAAAACAAGTTTCAAATGAAGAAAGACTAGTTTCAAAAGGACCAAGTATGGCCGGGCGGTGGTGGGGCATGCCTTTAATCTCAGCACTCAGGAGGCAAAGGCAAGAGGATCTCTGTGAGTTCAAGGCCAGCCTGTTCTACAAAGCAAGTTCCAGGACAGCCAGGGCTACACAGAGAAATCCTGTCTCAAAATAACAACAAAAAAGATCACATGTGTGATTCAATTTCTATGAAAAATTTAGAAGTATTTCCAATTTTAAAAAAATTTACTATTTACTTTTATGTGTAAGTGTGTGTTTGTGTCAACTTGTGGGTGTCCAAAGAGGCCTGTGGAGCTGGAGGCTGGAGTTACAGGTCGTGGGTGCTAGGAACCCTAAAGAGCAGCAAGTGCTCTTAACTGCTGAGCCATCTCTCCAGCCCCATGGGGCTTCTTTTTCCAATAAAACACTGACTGTACAAATGATCTGGGAGTAGACAATGAAGATGATTATAAAACCTTGACAAATATTAAAAAAACATACACTGATTCGTACACTTAGAAGGGTGTCTTATATCACTTGAGTTCAATCTCAAAAAGTTACCTAAAAAGTCAAAGCAAGTTGACAAAGTAGGTCATCATTTTTTCTAGACTAAAAGAGGCGTTAAAAAAACACAAGCGAGCATGATGAATAGACTTTGAGTCCTTATTGAAAGGAACACATTGTAAAGTAACATTGTATCACAATAATCTGCCTGTGAACTTGGAGCCGCTGTTTGTTATAGCAATCACATTGGCATTGTCCTCAGGCATGATTGCTTCTTTTCTTTTGAAATAAATACTGAAATATTAAGAGGTGAAATAAACGAGGCTTGAAATGTGCTTTAAAATACCCCCCTCTCGCCAACACACAAAGATGACAGCTGAGTGTGAGAAGCACGTGGTCTGAGATGAATGGCTAGATTTTAGCTGAGAGAAGAACGCACGAGCGTGGCTCTTTGAACTTTTTTAGTTTTAATACAAGTTTGGAGCCGGGTGGTGGTGGCACACGCCTTTAATCCCAGCACTTGAGAGGCAGAGGCAGGCGGATTTCTGAGTTCGAGGCCAGCCTGGTCTGCAGAGTGAGTTCCAGGACAGCCAGGGCTATACAGAGAAGCCCTGTCTCGGAAAACAAAACAAAACAAACAAACAAACAAAAACAAAAAATAAAATAAAAAAACAAGTTTGGAAATTTACTTTCTTCCCATTTTTAAAAAATTATTATTATTATTATTCTAAAAACCTTGCGAATAAAATCATCTCACACCGTGGAAATTCTCATTAAAATAAATTAAGCATACATCCAGGCCTGCTGGTGAAGAATTGTAGTCCCTTCTATTTAGGAGGCTGAGGCAGGAGGAGGGAAAGTTACAATCTTTGGGGGGTTTTTGTTTGTTTTGAGACAAGGTTTCTCTGTATAGTTCTGGCTGTCCTGGAGCTCACTCTATAGACCAGGCTAGCCTCGAACTCAGAAATCCTCCTGCCTCTGCCTCCCAAGTGCTGGGATTAAAGCTGGATCACTGCCCGGCTTTTTTTCTTTTTTTCTTTTTTTTGGGGGGGGGGGAGTTTCAGTCTTGCCTGGAATTTAGTTTCAAAATAATAAGAGTTTGGGATCAGAGACGCCGGGCTCTACGTTCAACACAGGACCGCTAAAAACAAAACAAAGGAATAGCCAAGGCTTAGAGCTGCATGCATGCCTGCAATCCCAGCACTAAACGCTAAGGATAATAAGTTTGAAGCATACCCTAAGCTACACAAGTTAGAAAGCAGCTTGGGCACCTAGGAGAAACCCTGTCTCAAAATTAATGAAAAGGGCTGAGGAGGTAGCTCTGTGGTAGAGCCCTGTTCAGAACAAGAGAACTGCCTCACCTCTCCTCCAGCCCTTCTCCTTGCTGATTATTCTCCACGAACACAGAAAAAGGGAGGACATTCAGGGTTAAGGAGGGGCCCTGGGAGTGAACTAGCTGAACAAGACCGGATCGAAGTCGGAACACACCTAGGACCAGCAAAGCTTTAGCAAAGGAACACCTCCAACACCGCAGTGGGTGGAGAACACGCTTCTGGAAGTCAATGGCTCCACCCTACCTGGTCCGAAACGTCCAGGCGATTGGATTTCCATGCCAACCCCGCCCACAGTCTTTCTGACGATTGGCTACTCTCCTTTTCCTGTTCTGCCCCCTCCAAGCGGCCCGCGGGTTGGCTGCAGGTTTCGGGCTAGCTCCGCCCCTCTCCCCCGGTGGCTGTATTAGCGCGGCGCACACCGGCTCGGTCTTTCCGTCCCGGACTTGGTGGTGAGTGTTCACGCGGGAGGGTGTCAGGATGTCCCTGGGTCCCCTCGAGCTTTGCCCGCCCCGAGCTCAGCTGCTCCTGGCGGCCAGAACGGAGGGGTAGAGCAGTTCTCGGCGGCCCGGGGGGCGGGCGGCCGTGCCCAGCCCGGGGCTGCGCGAGACACAACTCCCTCGTCGCTGTCCGTCCCGGGCGCCCTGACCACCGCCCTTCTCCCTCCGCAGGCCGACCCACCCGAGCCGATCCCCACTGCCCAGCCGTGCCGCTGCCTCGGACACAGCACAGGTACGTTTCCGCATTGATTGAAGAAAGGCGCAGGCCACGTGGCCGAGAAGACTGAGGTTCCAGGCCTGTCTTTGTTGGGCTGCGTAGGTCCTCCCCAGTCGCCCTTTCCTGTGCCCTTTTAAGGTTGTCGCGGTACTTTAAGAGGCTAACACAGAAGGGTAAAGGAACTCTCCATAAAACCCAGAGAGGAAAACTACACCTCCTCTTTGGATCCTGTCTGGAGTCACAGATGAACCAGAAGCTTCACTTAAAACTTGAGTGTGCTCGTTTTTAGGCCTGGCGATTACTAGGTAGTGACATAGGACTAAAAAAAAAGTAACCTACTTTAGTTTAATTCGATTCTTGGGAAAAGTTCAGAAGCAAGGGGCATATTTGCTTTTCTAGAAATTAGATTTTTAGGTCAGCTGAGAAGGATATAGTTGTATTTTCCACTTATTTGAAACATTTTTATTCTTTTATAGGTTAAAGACTACAAGGAAGAAACTCATGAGCCGAATGGCTTCAAGGTGAAATAGTCTTAACATGTAGACCAGGCTTGCCTGTATCCCACCAGAGGATTAGTGTCGAAGCTGAATTAGGTGAAGTCCATTTCACAGATAAAGAATGTGGGCCATGCGAGAATATCCTTGAATGGCCTGAAGATACTTTCCTAAAGTGTTTACCAATGTACAAGGATCCTGCCCCACCCCTTCTGTATGCCTGGCTGTCCTAGAATCAGATCCACCTAGCTGGGACATGTTGGGGGTTTTAAAGGTGCAAACGAAAGGAGATTTTAAGACGTTCGGGGTAGATATTTATTAGGATGTTTGTATCTGGTCTGCCTGCTAGGACAATTATTTTCCTAGTAGCCAGTCATGTGCTAGCTAGCATTCAAGGTGTTTTAACCTGTACATTGTTGCCTATGAGTAATTTTCCATAATCCTGAATAAAGGCGTTTCCTATGTCAATTCCATGATGGTCTTTTTCTTTTTTTAAGTAGTCACCTGTTATTACTGGAGTGTGGGGGTCAGAACTACTTGGAGCAGTCTGTCCTACCATGTGGATTCCTAGGATCAAACTCAGGCTGTTAGGTCTGGTGCCAGCCACAGTTAGACGTGGGGTTATTTGGCCTTTCCAAGCTTCTGTATGATGCCTATTGAACCCACAGCTTATATTCATGCAGACCGTGTGTATGTGATGCTGAGAATCTAACTTGTCCTTAGGGTGCATGGCACCTTTACCTGTGCCTTTTAATTTTCAAAACTGGTCTCATTTAAAAAGAAGCCAGATGCAAGGATACAAAGTTGGGTGAATATGCAGGCAGACTCTGGATCAAGATACAATGTTACCAAGATCCAAAGTCATCAAGAGGTTTTCAAAGTAATGTTACAATTGTGTCTTAAATGTCTACTGTTTCTATTTACACAATAGCCTTTAAAGTTTAAAAGTTCTCTGACAAGGAGTTTGCAATAACCTTATTAGCTATATTGTTACAAGTACTCAGCCACATGTGGCCAGGGACAGCACAGTATAGATTTCCATTTCTGTGGGGTAGCTGTTATATTGTGTAAACACCTTTACTTTTTTTTTTTTTTAAGATGGGTAGCCTGTAGATGTGACAACTGAGGTGTGGGCAGAGGAAGCTGGAGGATGGGACATTACCGTTGCTCTGGCCCTGTTTTTAATTGGGCCAGTGAAACCAAGCAATAAGATGAACATCAGGCCAAAACTAACTGGTGGCACGGGCACTAGCCAGAAAAGGGACACAAGGTGCTTTTAATTAAAAAGTATAATTTAGAAAATTCACAACAAGCTGGAGAGCTGGCTCGACATTTAAGACCACTTGCAATTGCAGAGGACCTGGGTTTGGTTCCATTACTCTCACGGAGGCTCACAACCTCTAGGGGGTCTGACATCCCAGGAAAGCTTGGGGTGCACATGTGTACATGTAGGCAAACAATCTTAAAAAGAATGTCAAAACTACCTTATGTATGGTTTTATGTTGTAATTTCAATGCTCAGATTGCAAAATTACCAACATGAGACAGTACAAAGATGGGAAAGGAAATAGGTATGCATTTGTTGACTTCTGAGTAAGTCCATTTAAAGTAGAAATTTGAGTACAGATGAAGTTGTAATATTTTGCCAGGGTAGAAGACATAAAGGAAGCAGAGTAGTTTTAAACTGCCCACCAGTCTGCATTGCCCTTCCCCACCTGTTTTTGTTTCAAGACTGGGATCTCTATGTAGTTCCGGCTGCCCTCAAACTCAGACTTGTTGCATAGTGCTTCTGTTTTGCTGATAAGACTCAGTTTGTCAGTCTCAATATCTTTGCCTGCCAGGACCCACACATTCCTTTGGAGACATTAGTCTAGCTTTGCATTGGAGGTTTACAGATTGCAGGGGTAGTTGGGTGAGATTGAACATGAGAGACCTATGTGTTCTCTGCTTAGTTTCTCACCTGAGCTAGCTTGCTAGGCTCTGGATTAACAACTCTGTGCATGACATTACCACTGGCAGTTTCACAGGCTGCATAGATCAATGCACCCACAAAGCCAATGGAAGATGTTCAATATGTATTACATGCTGACATTTCCTCAAGGCCAATAAAAAAACAGCGGCCCTGAGTGTATGCCCAAGTTACAGGTTCTTGAGTTTGATGGCCTCTGCAAGACCATCAATGAAGGTAACATGAGTTTCCAGAAGTGAGTTTAACTTTGCAGCTACTTTTGCCTGTTGGTATGCCTCAGATTTCAGCCCCTCATTTTATAAATGCTGTCACTGACTGGATGAAGGTTCTTCAGAGTTATCAGGTACTATAGCTTAATACTTAACAATAGTATATTGTTAATACCTAACCAAGTTATCAGGTACTATCAGCCTTCTAATGCTAGGACCCCTTAAATACATTTCCTGATGTTGTGTCCCCTAACCGTAAAATTTATCTCATTGCCACTTCAAAGCTAAATTTGTTACTGTTACAATGTAAGTATCTGAAATGTAGGATATAATCTGTGACCCCAAGGACATGTCGACCCACAGGTTGAGGACCACGGTTGGATGAACCAAGTTACAGCCAATACTAGCAATAGCTACTATGGTTAATTTCACAAGCTACTCTTGAACGGTTAGAGCAAACAAAATACAGATAACCTGTGGGAAGTTGCAGGCTTGGGGACCATACCAGCCTTCATCTTCCCACCTACTCACTAAAGGATAGCTCCATTTCCCTAATTGTGCCGTGAATAGATATGATGGTTGAAGTTCCCTGTGGCAGACAGCACCACAAACCACACAGAATCTAAGTCCTAAAAACTGACCTTGGACTATATATTTAGAATGAGCTAGTTTGAACCAGATGTGTCTACACATGCCTTTAATCCCAACACTTAGGCAGTGGCAGGCAGATCTGTGAGTTCAAGGACAGCCAGGGTAAAGACAAAAAAATGCACATATGGGTAAGAATGAGCTAGTTTTGTGGTAGGAACTCACTGGGAACCTCAAATGCAAGAAATATAGTTAGGTTTTAAAAATAAAGTGGATGCTGAGGTCTCCAATCTCTGTGTGGCTGGGTATTTATAATACCCCTGAAACCAATACTGCACATACCATATTTTCAGGGTTGAATGTAACACTGAAAACAATATTTTGTAAGCTTTAAATGTTTTACTTAGTTCTCAGGTGGAAGTCTGTCACTTATTTTTGTTGTTTGTGTAGGTGTGTTTTTCCTGCAGGTGAGTACTTCGTGCTTGCCTGAGGGCACTAGGTCTCCTGAAATGGAACAATTGTAGCCAGCCTTGTGGGCACTATAACCAAAGCAGTGCCCCCTTTGAGAGCAGCAAACACTTAAAACTTGACAACCTATTTTCAGGCCCCATTTCATTTTTGTCTTTGTCTGCTTTTGAGACAGAATCTCGCTGGGCGGTGGTGGCGCACACCTTTAATCCCAGCACTTGGGAGGCAGAGGCAGGCGGATTTCTGAGTTCGAGGCCAGCCTGGTCTACAGAGTGAGTTGCAGGACAGCCAGGACTACACAGAGAAACCCTGTCTCGAAAAACAAAAAAACAAAAACAAGACAGAATCTCGTGTCACCCTGGTGGGCCTAGAAATCTGAGGATGGCCTTGAACCTCTAATATTCCTTCTCACAACCTTCCTGTTTTATGTGGTGCTTGGGATCGAATCTAGGGTTTCTTGCATCCTGGTCACTCTGTCAGCTGAGCTGCCCTCAGAGCATGTGTCTCAATCCATCCATACAGTAATACTGTCCAAAGAATGAATAATGGTGTATTGTATGCATGTGCAACCGATGAATATTGTTTGAAATTATGCTCATCTGTTGATGGACATTTGGCCTGGCTCCTTTTGGCTATTGTGAATGTTAATCTATGGATTTATGTGTGAGTATCTGTTTACATCTTTCAGTATTTACTGAGAAGTAATTGTTGCCCTACACAGTGTCTACTTTTAATCTGAGGAGCCACCCAGCCTTCTCCACTTTGGCTACAACACCATCTCACTGGGAGACTATGAGCACTTCAAAACACTTCTCGTTTCTTATGATCCTCCACACTCAAGGTTTATGGTATTAAATACAAGGTTCTTAAAGATAATTTGGAATTACTTGCTAAGTGAAGGAATTTGAAGGGATCCCATTACTTTTGGGGGAATGGGATAAGGACTTTGGTAAGTGTTTGCACAGGAAAAGTACTTCAAACTATACATTTCGCCTTATCACACTTAAACAGAAATCTCATGAACTAGAGAATGACATCAAGGAACATTAAGAGCAGTTAATTCCCCTACCCAGGGTACCAAGCCTTGCCTCAGGCACTAAATGCTCCAATAGGAACAGAGACGCTCCTTTTTTCACAACATGGGAGCTTTAGGTCCCTTAGCTGGGATTAGTTTGAATAACAGGAGTGACTCACTGAGAGATGAAACACCTCGGGACCAACAGAAACAGCAAGGGTTCGAGGGACGTGTAGGCACTGGTAGACACATCTGCCAATCACAGGTTGAGGAGAGTCTGGTCCATGTGATTGGTTAGACTCAGGTTTCAACTCCAGCCCCTCTGCCTGAATCCTGCCCCGCCATAGTTCAGACCCCTCTTCTGACTACAAGAGAAGGAAGTCACTGAGCCTGAGCTTACTGTTGGAATCCAGGATACAGTTCTGGTTCCTTAGGCACATTTCACACAAATCCGAGGTCTTCTCCTCCCATTCAGCCTTCTGCCTGTTTCCTACTCTCACACAATCCCAAGCAGGTTGGGGATTTTAACCTGTGTTTGGGGAAGATGGGTCACCTTGTCAACTCATTTCTCTTGAAGCCTTCTTAGCTCTGTATGTACATCTGTAGAGTTGCCCAAGGCGAATTGACCCCGTGGGCAGAGGGAATATGGGCAATTACAACTAAACATTAAATCACTAACATAGCACCCAACAGAGTTACTCACATTTTTCAAGAAAGAAAGAAGACAGCATGACAAGCCCCATGGTGGAGGCTGTCTCTCCACCTACGGTAGTCTTCCTTCCGGGTCGGGTCGCTCTTACTTTACATCCAGCTCCTGCAAGCAGCCTGGCGAGGCTTCTGCACTAATCTCATTAATACAAATCTGATCATGTCTCTCAAATCTGTCTTGAGTCTCTCAAATGTCAAATCCTGCGATCCCTTGTTACTTAAAGGTTCCGGCAGACACTTTTTATTCCACTGTAACAGGTGACAGGGAAATATACTGAAAATTAATGAAGTCAGTATGTTGAAATTTCACAAACAAATCACACTCAGGATGGAGCCTGAAACATTTCCCCTCAGATACTTAACCAATGTTCTTCACCTGGGGACCACACCCTGCTTTCTGCTAGTAGAGTACTAACTGTGTTTATGCGGGGGCAAGGCCTGTCAACATGCATTTTGTTTCTGGTTTCTTTAACAGGCTATTTCGAGGTTCACCTATCTTTTCTGTAGTTTGATCATG